CTCGCGCTATTGCACTTTCTTGTAGAGGCGCCCTCGTCGGGGCCAGGGTGTAATTTTAAAATGATCAAGTACCACATCTTTGCGTACCGCTACACATAAAAAACAACTTGTTATTTTAGCAAGCAGTTTTTCTAAACATGTGCTGCGTCATCAATATTTTGTAATAGTTTTTGCTCCAGCTGACTCGAGGTCAGCAGCAGCCTATTGACATCACTATCCTCATTTCAAAGTTTGCAGCGGCCAATGGTTGCAACGGCAGGTAACGGCTCGCGGTACGTTCGGATGTCTCGGAGTGTTTCGTTTCGCTGTAAACATTTCGAGCCTTTGTCGACCGACACACTTTTTCTCGTTCTGTTTATTTTGACTCGTTCAAATGCTTTCGCGAAGGGAATTCGAGTGACTTTCGGGGAACGAAGCGACCGTTGAAGCTTTCATCGGATGAACACCCGTTGCAAGCCTGTACCGGTGAGTAGAAACCACTTCAGTTTTTCAAAGAACGTTTGCTTGCAAGGCTAGTTGGTTCATTTCAACGTATGTAGTTTTTTTTCGCCAATGACTGCGCAGGCGTCACACGGTGGCAGCTCATCGCAATATTAAATTTTAAAACTGTTTAACGTTTTAATCTGTAACCTGAAAACGTGCGTTACTTGCGGCGTGGCTTCATGTTGGAATGAGTCGCTGACTCAACAGTTAATTCAGAAATTCATTCTATCTCCAGGTAACACCAACCAGGCTGGTGCGATGAAAGAAGCCAAATAAATTAAATCACTGTCGCCTCAATGTGTCTTCGTAGCTGGCGGATATATTATTGCAAAAAACCTACTAGCTAGTAGTTTACTGCAGTCTAGTTTGAGAAACATCACATAATTATGGGTCTGGTTTCGCTATAGTATGACCAAAAAGTGTCACATAAATGAGAAATACTTTTTTTACTGCCACAGCCTCCTGGCCCACATGATATGGAAGCAGCTGTGTACAATGGGCAAGGAACCTGCTACATGGCATGCCTTGTAAAAAAGCAGCCCTGATTGATAACGTGTTATGAGGTACCTACCATGAAATATATGTATAAAATACTGCTGTTTACTAGTTAACTGAGTTTATTTGTTTACTTTGAAAAATTTAATGCATTGATTATGCATTGATTTCATGCATTGATATCTGGAGATGTTACTTATTTTTCCAGACTGCCATGCAACGACATGATGACTACCCTCGAATGTCCACTCTGCAAGCACGTTGACACATCTGAATGTCCACTACAACATGTCATCTCGAACCTCACACATGTAATGCTGTATTTGGGAATGTTTTACCGCGCATATCGTGGAGGGGTGTGATAGATTGGCCACAAGCATTGGCTGTCTACCGTGGCATGGAATCTACCCTTCAATAATGTTGAAACTGTAACACTATTAGTTAGATTGTGTGGCACTGCTGATCTCAACAACACACTGTTTGATCCCAGCCACGGTGGCCATATTTCGATGGGGGTGAAACGCTAAGACGCTTGTGTACTTAAAGGTTTGCTCGATTCGCTTGCACCAGATGATTCATTTTACAAAGTGCTGCACCTCACCATTCGTTTCAGTGGCGCAACAACGGCATCTTCTAAATCGTGCCATTCATTTCAAAAAGCACAGGAGAAGTACAGCACCAAAACTAGTTCATGATTTTCCTGTACCTTCTGCTCTGACGGCGCTGGTTTGGTGCAGCCGCACGCACAGCTTAACAAACAACATAGCATTCGACGTAGGTACCGTACCCACCTTCACAAATGCGGTGTGTTTGCCAGGATGTTTGCACCTCATTCAATTAAGCGAACAAAAATAAGAATTCCACCTTGTCATTCACTTGTGATGCCGCACTGCTAAACTCGTGCTGCATAAGTTCTGAACTTCTCGTGCACAACTGTCAACCAGTTCCGATTGGTGCAGGTGAACTAAACTGACGCTTAAAAAATGGAAGCTTGAAATATGAAAAAATCTGCTAACATAAGGTGTCAGAGCATATGTTTCGACAAGTAGTCTTGTCTCCTGTGAGGCTACAATGTCATTTGTTTGAACCCCTGGAAGCCAGAATCGATCTCAATTTGCCCACTACTGTACGACTCACGATGACTTTATAGTGGGCATGTGAATCCTCAGAAATTATTGATTGCAAAATGAACAACCCCACAGTGAGGGGCATTAACAGGCTTTCTGACATTTTAGTTGTGCCTTGTGACAGTTTACGAACAACACCCAGAACTGTTTTGTCTTAGTTAACTGTGTTTAGTTCATACAAGTTTACAAAAAGATGCGCCAAAACTCATAAGGCTGCACTCAATTGCTTTAGCTTTGCGCATATGTTCAATGGGCTTCTAGAATAATAAATCATAAACGTGATGAGCACTTGCAGCACAGCTTCCTCAAAAACGTGAATGCTGTCGTTAAGAGCCAGATTGTGTTCATTGCATGTGGTACTGTTTTTTTTTCCATATAGCAGTAAAACGTCCCAGATTTCCTTGAGCACATCTGATTTGGTTTAAATTAAGTTGTCATAACTATAGTGTATACCACTACGAAGTGAAATTCTGTGCATTACGGTCATGAAAAAAAATCTAGAAAATCGCACAGGTACATGAAACATAAATAATCTTGACTTATTCACAGCCACGCTGCAAGATAGTACGTATTTCAAGTCCTAACCTCTAAAAGTAGCAGGGAGAAAACAATTTCAGCTTTCAAGCACAAGTATACTGAAAAAGCAAACACAATAACAAGTGTGTAATAGATGTGATTTTTATTGATCCAGTATCCGGACAGATTCACATCATGCACCACCATTTGATTTTAGGAGTGATTGCTTGCAAGAAAGTGCTCAAGTTTGTCGATCTGTCTGCAAAAGAGTTTGTGCTCAGAGCTGAGCAGATAGTGTACTGTAAGAGCACCAACAAAGATCTACAAACAACAAAAATGTACAATGCATGCCTAAACCTTAGTTTTTAATAATTGGGCATTTTCGATCTGTAAGCACACACCTCTTAACTCTGTTCCTTTAGCATGCATGTTCGCTGCATACGCAGCAGACCGGTCATTACCTGCGACGAGAAATCTAGCTATGGTAACTGCGCAACTTAACTTCAACAATAAATATAGCAGGCCTGAAATATTTTAGGCCCATCAGCTAAATACATATTACCTTTGATATGGGCTCACGGCTGAGAACTAAACCAGTGCCTACGCTGTCGACACGACGCGACATTGTGCAATTGTGGAGTACTCAATGTAGCATTGCAGAGCTAAAAAAATTCAGAAGTGCACGCATCTACAATTGCTTATTTAACAAATTTCACAAAACTACATTGCTCTCACTGCGCGGGCTATCTATCGGCAATGTGGAAGTTTCCTTCCCGATTCCACATCAAGCATTCACTTCACTTCAAAATCAACACTGCTGGGCAAGCGCCGCATCTGATGGCAGAATCGGACCCTTGTCCTGAAGCCACACTATTAAACTCGAGCGCCGCAACACAATGAGAGCGACGTTCATTTAGCGATCTCGATGTTCAGTTATATGCATGTGCTTGTTAGCTTTCGAGAGTCTACACATGGGTTGAAAGCTTTCGATATGCATGAGTGACTTGTTTGTTCGGACCCGACCGTATACATTGATTGTACTGGCTTGGGCACTTGCAATAAACAATGAAAACCTTACATGAGTGACGTTGTTTTTGCCAGTCGAGGCCAGCTAGGTCACCTGGCGATAATTACAGACGCGAAGCGTGATCTAGCAACGAAAAAAAAAAACCAGAGGAAGCGAGCAGCGCGAACCAGCCGCGAACCCCCCCCCCCCCCCCACCTGTAGCAAAAAAAATTCGTCTGTTTATTGATGATGATAGTACTACCAGTGCCATATCGCCTCGCGGTATTGCATTTCAGTACGCCGCCGCTACGTATTTGCATGTTATTTTAATATACCAGCCCAAAGGTACAGTTTCCATTCACTAAACTGGTAGGTGTTCTGTGACGATAGTCTTTCTTGGGGACCATCGACGCGAAAACTTTGGTCTGTCTGTCTGCAAATTTGTTTGTTTCTCCACCGTTACCGCGAACCGGGTACTCTAAATAGCACAAGCCGATACCCCGAACGGCCGACCCCATCCGCAGCGCCCACCGATGTTGCTCAAGAATCAGCGTTCTTACGTGTGCGATTGTCAATTAAAAAGCAATTATTGCGCATATCTGAGGCACCATAACAACACGTATATATTCTGCATGTTCATCTTTTACTAGAAAAGGCATACCTAAGTCATTCTAAGGACCGTAGCGCTTATCACGCTGTACTGACCATGCAACGCTTGCACAAAAAGGCGAGTGTTTCCAACGCTTTGCTAAGAAGACACAGTGGTGGCCCCTGCCCGCCGCCTTGCGTTCTACACCTTATCAACTCTGAGAGGGGAGCGAACGCCCGTCTCAGGGCCACGCGCTTGTTTTCTAAAAAACTGCCTGATGGCGCTAATGTATCGCGTGTGAGGAGACTTGATGCGCTCGTTCGCCTGCGCTGTCCGCTCGAGGCACTCTAACGCAGTGCCTCCGGAATACCATTCACATTTTCTTGCGCACAACATCAAATAAATGTTTTGTTCACTCTCACCACAAGTAAGACTATCGTCTTTCGACGACATTTGCAGATTACATGCAGATACGGAGCCAATTTTTTTATTACACCGCTTACAATGCCGTGACTGTTTACACTACATAAAATAATCATCGCTAAGCTAGAAACTCACGTGACGCCAAATGGTTCCAGATTTCAGAGACAAACATAGGTTGGCATGTCTGTTATTGAAAACAGGCACAAGTTCATGCCAGTCCCGTCTATGGTTTCGTTGCAATGGGTGAACTTAGTACAATTAAGGAAATATGTAAAGCAAACATTCATAGGATTTTTTTAATAATACCTTCACCAAGCCAATCGAGTGACATATTCCTTATGCGACACTTCTTTGCACACAGGGTGAACGTGGCGCTGATGAACTTCAACAAGTTCGGCAAGATCTTTGGGTGTGCTCCGGGCACACCGATGAATCCTGTCCGAAAGTGCACCATCTGGATGAAGCACGAGTGAACTGCTGCTGTTCTACACGGTTAAAAAAGGAAAAAAAACACGAGCAAAGGAGCGACGGCATTGTTTTAATTTTTGTGTGTGTAGGGGAAGTTCACGTGTGAGGTGCGTTAGCGTGCGAACATAAGCTTTGTATACAGATCTCACAAACCAGTTTTCTGTGCCAACGCTGCCGCAGTGCCTGCCAGTATATACTATTTGGTACGTTCAGCTGCCTACTAGCGTATCAGCGAGCTGCATTAACGAGCTTGAGCAGCCATATTTGAATTGATTGTGAATATTAGGCTCGCGTGCCTAATATTCACAGCAGCTCGAAGCAAGAGAACTCGGATGTTACGCGTGCTCAAAGCATGTCAAGCACCGAAAGGAATATGTGCTACAACCAACGAAATCGGACAGCGTGGTAATTACGGCGCAGTATCTTGTTCGGTGGGATTCTTAATGCCATGTGCATAATGCATCGTATTTAGCAGTGCATTATTGCGTCATAACAAGCCTACTGCGTGACCAACAGACTGATCAGTCACAGCAAAACCACGAAACGTGTGTTCGAATCTCTTGGCGGGGCGATGACCAACAGCCTCGACAGATTGGGCGAGACTCATTTTGCGGATGTGACACATATCGCTTCAATATATGTAGTGATACCTGAACCGACATCACATCAAAATAGATGACGACTGCCACACGCCCAACGTGTGCGAGACCTCTGATACCCGGGAAGCTTGTAACTGCGTGCCGCGAGCAACTGCCGCCATGAAGTGTACGGCGAAAACTAAGCCGGGCTGGTGTCGCAGCCCCTTTCACCGCCGCGATTTCTCTATTCTTTTCAGCATGTGAGTTTAACGCGAACACAGCATGAAACTGCAGCAGCAATTGTAAATCTTAGCGTATGATATTATCGTATTAAGTTTGCGTATATACACTGCAGTTTCGAAGCGGTAGACCTAATGAAGACACCGGCACCGAGCCGTTTGTTCACCGAGCAGTTCGTTCCGGCCGCCGCCGGCCAGAACGAACTGCTGCTTATCCACCGAATTCTTGCGTCACTGAAATCTCCGACACATCTATTCTTTGTGTAGCAGGAAGTCTGTAGCCGTTCATGAGATTTTCGTGGTGTAAATCTTTTGCAAATAGCATGAACTGCCGGTCAGCAGACCCACCTTTTGCAGGCTTTACTGCGACCGTGTACTTTGTTTCACGTTTAGGCAATAGACGTTTTTCAAGCAATTCCACACCGCCCCGTGGGTGAGTGGAGCACTTTGGGAAAAGTTCGTACGCTGAGAGAACCAGCTCTTCCTCCACCCGCTGCTCATTGCCGCCGTGCGAGCACAAAACAAAAAGAACATGCCGCCGCTTCCTGAATAGGGTCCAAACGCATGTATATCGCATGAAACGTGAAATGATAACGCAGTCAGTGTAGCTATCACTAGACGAGTTAACATCGAACGCAGAAGATGAGCGGCATGCGATTTGTTGCGTATACTGAATACATGTGGTCCAAACATGCTATCGTGAGGAATGTGAGCTATAACACTGAATAATAGTTATTCAACGACGAACTGCTAATAAAGCATTTTAGCTTTTAATACCATAGCTTTTTAATTGGCCGTTAACACAGGACTGCGGGTAAGTGTTAGCGTTACAGATTTTTTTGTAATTTTTTATGGACAAGTCCCGCACTGAAAGAAAAGTAACACATTCTAAACGTGTAAGAACGGATGGAACTAGAATTCACGTGCTGTGATGTTGGAGCACCAGGGGACGCGACATTTGCGATGTCATATTATTAATATCATCACATCACATGCAGGTTTTTTCATCATTCACGCACAGAGAATGTACTGCCGCGTCGTTTTCACTTAGAAGCAACTTGTTTGTCGTCGAAGCAGCCATCGTGGAGCACCAATTCTTTTCATGAACTGTGTCCGTGACTTCCCGTACAAGCCATCTATCAGTTGCTTAAGTGCCTCTGCGGAGCATGTTTCCTGGCAGTATATCGCGCATTGAGTGAGACCTAAATACAGTTTCGCATCGGCGCATTCGAATATTGTTAATTTAGAAATAATGATATCATACTTACTCTCCGCGAAAAAGACAACAAAAAGAACTTGGGCACATTACATGAGCAATATAGTTGTCAGCCGCAAGAATGCGTGGTATCCTGCCTATAGCATGTTGCATCTGTTTGTGAACAGCTCATTCGCACTGCGAACAATGATTAATTTGGACGACCTTCATCCACGAACAAGCTATGTGGAATATACGTTCTGAAAGAAAGTTGGGAAGCGGTACAAGGTGATGGTTGTCTTTTCCCCACCATATTCTCAGCTAAAATCTCTTCCGTAGAACGCAAAAGGTCGCAAAGGTCTGCAGTGGGCAAGAAAAGTACTATGAGAGGAATGCCAATTTTCCGGCCACCACCGTGGCTGCGCTCAGTGCTGCGGATCGGCTGCGTGAGCGTCGCTGCCACTGGGAGACGGCACTTTATAGATACGAGCTAGGGCTGACCAGATTTCGGCCGTCGGGCAAGTGCCCGACGGCCGAAATCTGGTTGCCGCCCGGCTCCAACGACGTGAAGCGATCACCTGAAGCACCACAATCATCATCGACGGAGGGTGGCCCCCGCCTATCCCGAAAGGCACCGCCGGACTAAAAAGAAAGTTCGTTCATTCATTCATTCAATTGTTGTGCAAAAGATACTAACCGAATTCCACTTCACATATATACGTCGATCAGACCGACTGATATATCAACACGTGCCTGAAAGCATTAAAATTCAGTGATTGGAGCCATCTCAACACACCTCGCATTTTCAGTCATGCAATTGAATAATTGAGAGCCTGTTAATTTTGCACAGTCACCTAAACTAGACCACGCGACGCGAGAAATCTCGGAGACATATGGTGAAGAACGCCGCACTTTGTTCCGGTCGATTATAAACTTTGCTATCTCTACAACACAAGAAACTGGTCCCTATTATTCAACTGCCGACGCGCGCCTCAGCTGTTCGTACTTTTTGTACCTCGTTGTGACACACAGGATGCACCCCCATTTTTTTATGCATGTTTGTTAACACATGCGATAACCTTTCTGTCGTGAAGGAGCGTTTCCGGTGTGCACGTTCCTTTTCGGGTCCTAGCTCTGTTTTTTTCGCCCTGTCGACTTTATTCTTCCAACCTTCAGATAAATTGCCAAGTTGGTTGATGCATATGCTGCGAGTGGCACGCATTGGTCTAGTCAATGTCTAGTCAGTGTATTTTATTCTACGAAGTTGCGCTTATTTCAAAAGAACTGTAATTATGCCAGAACCGAAAATTTAGTCGCTAACACCGTCAAAAGACACCGATTTTTAATGTGTCTGTCAATTTATGGACAGTGCTTGCACTTTTCCGCAACCAAGTTGTACTGTTTTAGGGGCGAAGGTCTCTATAGCGTGGGTCGTGCGTCTGCTGTATGTAGTAGTCACCCCTCGTTTTAGTCCTGTAAATTTCCGACTAAAGATGATAATTGTCTATGATGAACATATGATGAAAAGATGCGAGATTGCGGTAGTTGAAGTGTTCACTAGATAGACGGACAGATAGTCGCCAGAGGGACAGACAGACAGACAGGTGGACAAGCGGACATACATACATACATACATACATACATACATACATACATACATACATACATACATACTTGCATGCATGCATGCATGCATGCATGCATGCATACATACATACATACATACATACATACATACATACATACATACATACATACATACATACATACATACATACATACATACATACATACATACATACATACATACTGACACAGGAAGCCAGACAGACGGACGGGTAGACGGACGGACGATGGACAGAAAAAAAATGCGGCAAGCGGATCATGCACGGTTTGCCGATAAAACCCTTCGTAGCTTCGCCCCACCCATCATCCTTGACTCCGTGGATATTGTGCGATTTTTTAATGCGAAAGCGAACGTGGGTGACTTTGAGCGTATCTACCTATCTATTTAGCCAACTACAACTTTTAGTTCTCCTGGCCGTTTGGATAATGGTATCAATACCAAACTTGGTATGGCATAACATGACTACATGACGAGCATATTTGACTAGTTATAACATGAAAATCATGACATTTATGTCATGAATGTCATGATTTACATTGCATGGTCTTGCTGCTCTAGCGGTGGTTTCGTTCACATGACATGTTGAAAAACTGGTATGGTATGACATGATTGCATGACAAACACAAGCGACAGACCCTAGCATGAAAACCATGACATGCGTGTCATGTAACAACATGACTACATGCCACGCTCATGATGCGTTCTCGGCCATTTTGCTAGCGTCACATAAACCAAATTTGGTATCGCGGTACGTGAATGGATGACGAAGGTATGTAACTGGTGCAAACATGATAATCATGAGATGCGTGTCATGTAACAACATGACTACATGCCACGCTCATGATGCACTGGCGGCCGTTTCGCTAGCTTCACTTTTACGACATTTGGTATTACGGAACGCGAATGGATGACGAAGGTATGCGACTGGCGCAAACAGGATAATCATGAGATGTGTATCTTGTGAGAACATGACTACATGCCACAGTCAAGGCGTCAATACATTTCGACGTGACACGGTGCGCGTGCTCGCCGGCGTTCATTTCATCGCGTCACGCCGGCGTTGCCACGCCAGGCGCCGGTCCTGCCATATACTCGCAGGCGCCCGCTGCGTTGCTTTGGCGCATGCGCGTTTCAGAGCGTCCGGCATCCCTCCGTCTTGAAAAGATGCCGGCGCAGTGCTGTCATGGTAACTCATTGGCGCCAAATGCAGCATGTCGCATTTCGCGCCGGTTGCCGTCAGGGCCACGCCGACGGACGCTGGTTGCGCGATTTGCGTTTGGCGTCAGAGTATAGAGTGCTCGCGTTTTCATAACGTAGCGTCACTGTCAACGTTACGTTGAAGTATATTGGGCCCTTCATGATGCAC